GGCAGCGGCTCAGCCTTGGGCAATGCTGGCGCTGGCGTCTCAAAAACACCAACTCTCTTGTTCCTCATACCCGCTCTGCTGGAGCAGCTCAGGAGCTCACGGTCTCGGGTTACAGACCAGGAAACTGAAGCGGAGGTGATGGGAAAGCAGGTGGTGGGGAAGGTAGGGCCCAGCCCGGGAAGCCCCTGCCCGACTCGGCTCACTGCAGAAAGCCCAGGTCACGGCAGGCCACGTGGGCCTCTCGGATGCTCCAGCTGCGTTTACACAGGAACGTCTTCTGGTCTTGCCCCACGAGTTTCACCTCGACGAGTCCCTCCGCGCTGGCGTTGCCATACAAGGACACGGTGAATTTTCCTACGGTAAAAATAAAAAGAATCAGCCGTATGGAGGCCTTTACTCCCTCCTTAATGAAAACCTTTAAAATAATAAAATGTATAATTTCAAATTAGCTTTGAACACCATGAAGTGTTCTTTTTTTTCTCATTTTCAGTGGGCATACGCTCTCACCAGAGAGAGACAGACTGAGGAAGAGGAAAGAGGCACCCCCCTTTGAGCGCACGGTCCCCCCTCAACCCCTTCCCCTCCATCTCTCCCTCCTGTTGGGGTTTTGGGGCACGCACACACATGCGACTGCTGTGTTTTCCAGCCACGAGGGCCAGGACGGAACCAGCCGTGTGGGATCTGACTCACAAACCAGGCCGTGGGGCTGGCCCACCGTGAAGGATTTAACGAATGATTACAAACGGTGACTCTAGAGGTGCTTGCTGTTATGTGTCAGTGGTTGTGCCGCCTACTGAGTTATACTGAAGACGGCCAGATCATCGCCTCTGCTCTGAAGCTGAAGCCGGGATTCGCCCCATTTTCACGGGGGAAGCCTGTCTAGAAGTCACCCACCTGCGTGGTGAAGCCAGGAGCTGAGACAACCTGCACCCACCTGCGTGGTGAAGCCAGGGACTGAAACAACCTGCTCTATTAACCTTTCTTCCTTTTTTTTTTTTTGAGAGAGAGACCTCTGCTACAGGGCACATGTGCTCACCGAAGAGACAGAGAGATGGAGAGACAGAGACATAGAGACAGAAAAGAAGAAATCACCCCCAGGAGGGATGGCCGCACTGAGATCCCTTCTCCATTCTCCCCTCAGGATTTTGGGCACACATGCTCAGCCCCTGTGTGAGTTTCAAGCTGCTGGCCCAGGACTCGAACCACAATCAACTACGTGGGAGTCCAGCAATGCAACATTACACCACCTACTGGTCCCTTTAATCTTTCTTTCTAAGTTTACTCTGTTTATTTCTTTTGACAGAGAGTGAGAGAGGCGCCCTGATAGGATTTCTCATGTGGTGGTCATCCCCAGCCTTCCCGACAGCCAGGCCTGGGTGCCGTGCCTGCTGGGTCCACGGCTGGACCCTGGCCCCCTGCAGCTCTAGCATCCCGCAGAGCCCTGCAACCTGCGCCCAGCAGTTGGGCCCTGCTCTGTCTCACCCTAAAGTCCTGCTCTTCAGAGTAAGCCAGACAGCGGACCAGGACAAAGGCCGGGCTCACACAGGCCGGCTCAGTGGGCAGCGCAAGCATGCCGCTCCCAGAGGCCACACCGCACGGCCCCTGTACTTCCACTCCCGGCTCGGTCGGCCTGAAACACGCCCGGCGTGGGCCAGTGCCCAGGACTGGCTGCAGACGACCCCTGTGGAGGAGCGGTTTCTTGCTCTCACCTGTGCATGCACGTGCTGTCATGAACGACAGAGTTTATCTGTTCTCATACGTTTAAAGCAATTAACGCCTCAAGAGGAAAAGACCGACATTGCTAAGTGCCCTCCACTGCGCCTTCCTCCTCTGGGCAGTGGACACGGCTGACGGGCGCCTTTCCTGCTTTCCCGCAGGCCTCACCCGCCTGGAGTTGCAGCCCTGCAAGCCAGACCGAGTCCCGGAGCCTTAGCCGCTGTGAGTGGCCCCACCCCAAGTCCAGCCCCCGGCAGCCCAGTTCCCCCGAGCGCTCTGGGCTGCTGAGCACTGGTGAAGAGCTCCCCAGGGCCTGGGTCCGTTTCCGCAGTCTGATGCCCCAGGACCCGCCCTGACGTTCGCGGAGGCCTGAGAGGTCGCGGGTCTTGACCATACAGAGGTGGGGCTCCCAGGGGCGTGGAGCTAAATCCGCCAGACCTCTAAGCTTAACTGCCCTACCTGAACGTCAGGGTGGCTGCCCCATGTGGCCTGGACACCGGCTGAGCGGACACGGCTCCCTCTGCGCCCAGGTGCCAGGCCGGGGTCTGGCCCAGGGCAGTGGCTCAGCCTCCCTTGGGATGGACAGGTGCAGCAGGAGGTGTGTTGCGGACGGGAGGTCTGAGGTGGGCCTGTCCCCACCCAGAGGGCCTGTGAGCACCGACCTCTCACAAAGACTTCCACTAGAGCCCAAGACCTCAGGCCCTGCTCTACGGAAAATGGAAATGACCACGTGAAGCGGGAAGGGAGTAACTACTGGGCAAGTAGGGACGTCAGTGGAGCTGTTAGAGGAGGATGGGTCAGAGGACCAGAAGCAGTGCTGTCTGCCACAGTAGGACCACAGTGGGCCACAGCTTCCTGGGAGTCTCAGAGAAGCCACCAGACAGGGCGTCGAAGGTCCTTCCGTAAGAGATGACACATGGGCAGGTGAGAGGGCGCTGTGCTCACCACACCCCCTAGAGGCTGCACGGTCTGGTCAGCGCCCCCACAAATGTGTGCAATTATATATTAATGAAAAGTGACTTTTTGGCTGGGTTCTGAATTAGCTCAATGGCTTTAGGAATAACTCTTTTAGCCAAGTAGAAGTGGGAGTGGGGACACTTCCAGATGACCGTGTGGCAGAGTGGTGGGCACCCAGGGGAAGCCCTGGCCTTAGCACCCTGGGCTCTGGACTAAGGGCAGCTGGGCTCTGGCGCCCCGCCCCATGACTACTGAGGGTCTGGAGAAGAATTCTGAGCTGTCACGGTAACATCTCACAGAACAGTCCCCTCTCATGGAGAACAAAGGACGCACTTACTCCTCCATCTCGGAGCAACTTGGAAACAAGGCCTTCCCTACCTCCCTCTGTGCAGGGTCCACTATTTGAAAACTTCGCCCCTGGACGGAGACACTCCAGACTCTTCTGCTGACAGTAGGTCGGGTAGCTCCGGCCATTGTCCGAGCACACTGCGCTGCCGTTCTTCGGGCACTGGTAAGGCAGCTTGCACACGCAGGCGCCGTCGATGCACTTCTGCCATGGCTGGCAGAAGACTTTGGTGCAGGAGAGATGCGTGTACCTGTGTGCTAGGCACTCCTCATCCACCAGCGCAGTTTGAGACACGGAAGTGACCTTTAAAATGCAAAGAAAACATCCACTTAGCAACCTCGAAAGGCTGCCTTTGGAAGATGAACAAAGAAGAGAACAAAAGAGATCTCCCTGTGGTGCAGGTGGCGCGGTAGCCCGGTGCTGGTTCCCCGTGGGCACTCAGAGCTGCGTCGGCCTATAAAATGCAAATCTCCTCAGCTGTAAAACGGACACGGTAGCTCCCAGTTTTCAAGGTCATTGCAAGGAGTAGAAATATGTGTGACGGTTGGCGGGTAGCAGCCATGACATTGATGGGACCGGTTTTCCTTAAGTGCGTCGGAAACTCGTGCCCATGAAGACGTGGACGGGTGCCAGCAGTCCTGGGAGGGAATGACGAAGCCGGTGCTGAACTGTCTACTACATGTACAGGTGAGCCATGGGGAGACTTCCAATAGTCTAGGATGTGTGTAATTGGCGTCTCCAAGAGGAGGAAAGAGGAGGGAACAAAAACCATCTTTGAGGAAATAATGGCTTAAAGTTTTCCAAACTGATGGAAAGCATATGCACATAATCCAAGAAACTGAATGAACTCTGCACACAAAAATCATGAAGGAAACTCCACTAAGGCATATTATGTTCAAACTGCTCAAAAACCAGTGAGGGGGCCAAGTTGTGTGGTGGTTAAGTGCTGGGTCCTACATGACCAACTCCATGGTTCGAGTTATAGCCCCAGCGGCCTGGAAAATTCACCAGGGACATGAGCATGTGTTCCCAGGACGCTGAGAGGAGAAGGGGGAGACGGCGTTGTGGTGTGGCCATCCACCTGCGAGCTGATTTCTCACTTCCCCCTCTCCGTCTCTCTCCAGTGAGTGCATGCGTCCTAGGGCAAAACACACACACACACACACCCCTCCAACAAAATATCAGTGACGAAGAGGAAACCTTCAAAAGAACCAAAGGAAAAACACAGTATGCAGAGGAACGAAGACAAGGAAGGTTTCTCATCAATAATGCAAGTGAGAAGAGAATGCAGCAACATTTTTGTTTAAAAAAGAATGAATTTGGGATCAGTAGTTAGCGTAATGGCTATGTCGCTAGACTCCCATGTAATCCACTGTGGTTCACGTCCCGGACCTGGTGGCTTAAAACTCACGCCAGGCACACGTGCTTGCGTGCCCAAGATCCCGAGAGGAGAATGGAGGAGAAGGGATTGTGGCGTGGCCATCCCCCCAGGGGGTGATTTCTCCCTTTCTGTCTCTCTGTCTCTCTCTGTCTGTCTGGCAAGCTCATGTGCCCTATAGTAAAAACCTCTCCCCCCAAAAAAGAATGAATTTGATTTGCTATTATTATTTTTTAATTTGATGAGAGAGAGGGAAAGTGAAAAACCACGCTGTCAAGTCCAGGACTTGAACTGCAGTTGACCATGTGGGAGTCCAGTGCCTTAACCACCATGACCACTGCTGGCCCCTGCAGCAACATTTTTTAAGTACTGAAAGAAAAGACTGTAAACCTGTAATTTAATACCCAGCAAAAATATTATTAAAAAATTAAGGCAAAATAAGAACTTCCTTAGACAATGAACGCTGAAAGAATTAAACACTAGCATACCTGTACATTAGAAAAAATAAAAGTGCATCGAGAATGAAAAAAATTATGCAAGATGGAAATCGAGATCTACACAAAAAACGAATAGTGAGACTGGGAATTTTGGTTTTGGAGGGAGGTAGCCTTTGCACCTTTTCTTGTGGTATCTTTGATTGACTTTGGTATCAGGGGAATGTCGGCCTCACAGAAGTGCTCCTTCCTGCTTTCTTTTCTGGAAGACCTTGAGAAGGATTAGGATTAATTCTCTGTAAACAAGGAGACTTCGAAAAATTCATAGAAAAATGGAATTAAAATATGAGTTAATTTTGGAGCACAATTTAAAAAAATCCATTTCATGAACTTTCTGAAGGCTTCATGTATGTTTAGTAAATTCACCACTGAAGCCATATGGTTCTGGACATTTTTGGGAGTTTTTTTTTAATTTTTAAATTTTTTTAATTGCTGATTCAATCTCATTACTTGTTATATATCTATTCAGATTTTCTATTTCTTCTTGAATCAGTTTTAGTAATTTGCGTCTTTTTATAAATTTATTTTTTTTATCTCGGTTATCTAATTTGTTGGCATAAAATTGTCCATAGTGTCCTTAGTAACGCCTCCAATTTTATTTCTGATTTTAGTTATTTGCATCATCTGTTTTTCAAGTCCAACTAGTTTGTCAATGTTGTTCTTTCCAAAGAATCAACTTTTTATTTTGATGATTCTATTTTATTGCTATATTTTGTTTGTCTCCACTCTAATTTTATCTATTTATTTTTGCTAGCTTTCTCTCTCCTCTGTCTAGTTCCTTAGCTTATAAAGTCAGGTTATTAATTTGAGATCTTTGTTCTTCTTTAATGCAGACATTTACTGCAATAAATTTCCCTCTGTTCACTGCTTTCACTGCATACCATGTTTTGGTACTTATATTTTTGTTTTCACTTATTCCTAAATACTTTCCAACTTTTATAACTTTTCTTTGATCATTAGTTGTTAAAGAGTTTATTATGAGACCAGCAATTGGCATAATGACTATGTCGCTGGACTCCCATGTAGTTGACCATAGTTTGAGTCCTGGACCCAGTGCCTTAAACTCATGCCGGGCGCGTGTGCATGTGTGCCCCAAATCCCCAGAGAATGGGGGAGAAGGGACTGCGGTATGGCTATCCCTCCTGGGGGGTGATTTCTCGCTTTTTGTCTCTCTAAAAAAAAAAGAAAAGAAAAGAAAAGAAAAAATATATGAGAAAGTATGGCTCATTCATAGAAGGAATGAATATAAATGGTTCCTAAGGAAGCACAAATTTTGGGCTTCAGAGCCTAATCTTGTTACATACTTTAAAAAAATGTATTATTTTTGACATTTAATCACCCTATATCATTAGAGCATACGAAATGAACTTTCCCAGCATGAATACACTGTATATTAGTCCAGTCAAAGTTATTACTATACGCGTTGTCGTCAGCAGATCATTTTCCATTTTCATGTCCCTTAAGTATTTTGCTTCTTTCTTTTTTCCCTTTGATTCCCTCCCTTTCATCCTCCCCATTTCCCACCACCCTCCTGCTGTTACATACATGTGATATGTAGAGCGTTCTGTGTGTCAGGCATAACCGAAGAGCATGGCTTTGAGGAAGACAGCTGAGTCAGTCCTTGTCCAGTGTCGTACTCACATCAGTGTGAGGATAAGAGGACACCCAGTTGTAGGCAGATGAAAGGGGCCTGTATTAAGCCAGCGACTGAGAGAGGACTCACGTCACCCCAGAAACTTGCAGCACCAGAGCGGGGGGGGGGCAGGGGGGGAGGGGCAGGGGGGGAGGGAGGGTTATGAAGGCAAAAACCCCAAAGGAAAAAACTGCACACCTAAGAGAGTATAGGCCTGGAGTTATGTAAAAACTGTTAACAAAAGCTTAAAAAGCGAGTTATCAGGAAGGACAGTTATAATTGGCTGCATCTGCTGGTGACAAAGACTCAGGAGGACAGGGCTAGACGGCAGTGTCGGCTGCTGGTGATGAGCATTCAGTGTGGAGCAGGGTTGGGTACAGGGAAAGGGGATGGCAACAAGCGAGAAACCCCCCCAGGGGGGACGGCCACGCCGCAGTCCCTCCTCCTCCACTCTCCTCTCGGGATCTTGGGCGCGCATGCACACGCGCCTGGCATGAGTTTAAGCCACCGGGTCCAGGACGTGAACCGTGGTCGACTACATGGGAGTTCAGAGCCATAGCCATTACGCTAACTGCTGGTCCCCAGAGTCATATTCCGAAGGAGGTGTTCACGCTTCACCAGTAACTAATCTTGCCAGATAGCTGAGATCGCTGTTAGCCTTACATTCCTGCTGCTGCTCTGCCCTGCATTACATGAAACCAATTCAAGGTCTTGGGTCACGTGCCCAGTGGCCCCCAAGCAGGTTGGCATAGACAGACACGATTCTTTCTGAATAAGGTCTTCTCTGCTCCTTCTAGAGCTAGGGACCAGGCTCCTTTGTTGGGGATGCTCACTGCCTTCTTTCCAGAGCGCTGCCAGACCGGAGAGGGTGTGGGCCAAGAACTATCGCCGCCAAGCTTTCCTCCGGTCTCCATGTCGCCTCTTCCTTTGGTGGTCACTTGAGCGCTACCAGCCTCTCACTGTTCAGAGCGCTGAACATTTGGTCCTGACGGTCTCTGCTCGCTATGCCCGTGTTTCGCAGGGACGAGTGCCGCGTGCCGCGTTCACCTACTCTGCCATTCTTTACATCTGCCTTGCAGTGCCCCTGCCTATATATTCGCTCGTTTTCCAGCATCTCAGACCCCGTTAGTACGGACCTCATTCTTTCTCTCTGAAATGCACCATGTAAGTCTGAGTTTGTAATGAACTATCCGTGTGAAATACGAGAGCATATCTGGGCGGCGTCACTGCGGAGCACTGTCACAGTAGATGCCCATAATGACCGAAACTCCGGCTTCCCTGTCCTCCAAAGCCCTCCGGCTGTTACCACGCGAGGCTCGACAGCCGTTCCCTCTGGAAGCGGCACGAGGCGCTTCCTGGCTGGAAGGGTTGGGGAACACCCCCTTCGCCATCACTACTCAAGTCCCGTTCAGATTTAGGTCCAGTGCAGATCCTGCTTGGTCCATGATCCCTTCCTGACCTCTGAGCATGACGTCTGTCCTTTCGTTAAAGTCCTTTGTCACACATCTGTACTGTTTTTGGCACTTGAATGTTTAACAGTCGCTTCTTTTACCTTTTAAATGTTATTTACGTTTCGTTTATTATTCCTGCACTGGCATGTCTGCATCACCTTCCTCAAGTCTACGAGCAGGCTATTTAAGGAGGCCAGTCTTCCCATTTGCTAGCACTCTACCCTGCACGTAGGAGGCGCCTGATCAACATTTAGTGATTTAATATAACTATTGCAAAGTACAGCCTTGAATTGGGAAAATTCTTATTCAGTTCGATGTCTACGCACAAACATAAACATGTAGGAAGGACAACTTTCTTACAAGTCTTTCCTCAAGATATTAACATACAACATTTGCTAGTGACTACGTGATAGCACTCTTGGTAACTGGGCTATGGAACATTTAACTCAAAATATCTCCTCTAAGATTTTTTCTAATGTTTGTAATCTTCAAAATATGTAAACTAGTCTTCACGAGTACTGACTCACCTTGCAGAAACTTAAGCAGAAGCAGGAAAGTAGCAGAGTGGCCTGAGTCAGCTTCATGGCGGAGGTGTTCCGGGGCTGCGTCTCTGCTGAGGACTCTTCTTCATCCCAGAAAGTCTTTCTGAATTTAATTTTTAACCTCTGAAAAAATATTTAAAAAGAGAACCTCTTCCAAAGAGCTTTGTACTTTTGATCTCTGAAAGACAGTGGCACGAATCCAAAGACTTTTACCGTAACTGAAACCAAAAATGCCCTTCCTAGTAGCTAGCCCAGGGAGGCAGCCAATAGGGACGGGGTTTCCTGCAGAGGCCGATTTCCCCACCTTGGTCATGGACAATGCCTTGACTTTGTTTTCCAGGAAAGACCAAACTTAGGAAGCAAATTTCTTTCTTTCTTTCTATATATATAGTTTTTTCCCTTAATGTTGAGCATTGGAAGATGGTAGGAGTAAAAGCACAACATGTTGAATGCTGTGTTAAATCCATCAGAAGCTCTCTAAAGCAGACACATCCGTACACACACCAGGACCACACACAAACAGCTCCTTTACCACGTGCTGGTCGTGCTGTGATCAATTAAGTCTCTGAGCACACAGGACTCTGAAACAAGTACTCTTGCCGCAGTACTAACTACGGGGCAGGTTCCACGTGTATTTCGGAGCTACCTTTGTGAGGGTACTGTTGCCATTGCAGTTGGGGTTCTCCGTAAGCAGACTGGGGTGCAGATGCTACGGATCAAAGCTGTGGGAGGGTGGGGAGGGACCGGGATTGAGCAGAAGCTGAACTGCGATAGGCGCTGCGCGACGCCTTGGCTCGTGTACAGGGAGCTCTGGGGTGGGACGGGCTGGTGTCCTTCAGTCCAGGAAAGATGGCCGGGCCATCACACTGTGCCTGCTCAGTCACTTGGAGCGGGTTACCTGGGAAGGCCATGACCTTGGGTGAGCCAGTCCTTCGTAGCTGGGGCATATTCTGAAGGGTGTCATATTATCTATCAGGAGGAGGTGCCTTCCCACCACACTCCTCACAGCCAGTGGCACGACCTTTGAAGGGGGATCTGGAACACTCAAGTCTGTCTGTTGGAGTCTACTACCTGCATCTTGTAGATTGCTTTCCATGCATACTCCAAGAATGGCTCCTTCAGACTTCCAGTGGGCCTCTCTTTTGGATGTAAAACGTGGAAAAGGGATTTAGTGGGCAAAACTGTAGCCCTGTCCTTGCAGTTGACCTTGGGGCTGTAGTTCTCATTTGCAACCTCCTCTCTAGTCTAGATTTCCTTCACCCTGAACTTCTACCTCTGCTGGCCCTGGTGGCCTCTCTGATGGCATGACCCTCCATGACCCTCAGCCTCTCTGAAGCATCATCTGAGCTCTTGGTCACCATTTTCTTCAGGCCAAGGTGTGATTCTGTCTTTACTCTCGAATTCCACACAGATTCCTCCCTGCCTTTTTTTTTTTTAATGATTATTTTATTTAACTTTAATTTAACTTCATTTATTTATCTAAATTTGACCAGAAAGGGACAGAACAAGAGAATGAGGGGGCGAGAAAGTAAGCCGCCAGGTCTGGGACTCAAACCATAGTCAGCCATGTGGGAGTCCAGCGCCTTTAACCACCATGCCACCTGCCGGTCCCGCTCCCTGCCTTCTCTGTAGTAAAGCAGCCTTACCTCCTCTGAGTGAGCGGCACCCATCATCCTGCCGGGATGGCGACTCCCCTTCTTCCAGGCCAGTGGCTAGACCAGGAGCCCGATGTGGCCAAGGCAGCAGCTGCAGAGCCCATGCTGTGCCCCGGTGAAAGTGCGGTCCTGTGGGGACCAAGACTTCTGACTCTGCAGGACTGCAGTTGGGGGACAGGAAGTACAAAGCCCGACTGGTCACCGGGCCTAAGTGTGGCATTCCAGCCTGCCTTTTGGTTGCATGCCCACTGCTTCCTGGAGGACAGCTCATCTTCAGAGTACCGCTTCCAACGAGCACCTCCGGTCTGCAGTGCACAGGCTCCTGAAGCTCGGTCAGCCACAGCATTCTGGGAGGTGTGGTACGTGACATGACCCAGGGCCAGAGGCCCTCTCCCGCATCTCCTTGTCTAGCAGGATGTCACGTGGGCTCTCTCGCAGGATGACCGGACCTTCTGTGCTGAGGCCCTGCAGGCAGGACAGCCATGCCTGTGCCTCGAATAAGGTCCACTCCTGCTAGAATCTGTCACCGCTCCCCGGGACTGAAGGGGCCAGACGCGGTTCGCCATCCTGTGGCTTGCGGTCTCACTGACGAACTGTGCCACCTTGTGGACATGAGACCGTTCTCCACTGCTGTCACCCTGGCCCTTTGTTGACAGCAGAGCTGATGTGTGTGCAGGGATGTAGGTGGCGGCAGTGAGACACGCTAATATGCACGCGCTGACCTCCAGGGCAGTCTCCATCTCAGCCACCGTGGCTGCTCTGCCATGCCCACCATGCTAGCGAGCTGGGAGCTGGTGTGAGCGTGACTCCGCGCCTTCTCTCTGGCGGGTTAGCGGAGAGTCTACACTTCACACCTGCTCCCACATGTATGTCAGTGTTTCTATCCCAGACCTCCTAGTTCTTGATCTTCAAATATTTCTCCTTCTAAGAAAAAGGACTGCCTGTGACCCCACACCTGCCAGCCGTGGCTCTGCCCTCGGGAGGGCGTCTCCCCCAGCGTGGTGTGACGCAGGGCTGCCTACTTCCAACGTGCACCAGGCCAGTCGCAGACAACACAGGCTGCCTCCTCCTTCAGCTGGTTGTACGCGATTCCCTGGAGAGCCACAGGCGTGAGCTGAGCGAGCAGTCAGGGCCATGAAGCCCATCCGGCTCCCCCTGAGCCTCTCCTCAGGAATAAAATGGAGGCACCCACCTTCCTCCCACTGCAGTGACGACTCTCCGGCAGAGTCCTGGTAAATACAGGCCGGGCGAGCTGTGGCCCGCTCTCCCTGCCCTCCCCACACTGCCACTGAGGGGCTCCTTAGCGCCAAGCCTGGCTGCAATCACCACGCCTGGATGTGTCAAGGGCAGACCAGACCAGAGACAGCCCTGGACAGTAGAACCAGAACAGCAGGCAGGTTTTCACTCTAGCTGCAATGTGAGAAGTGGGCGAAAGTGATTTTTAGTAGCCTGTTTTTTAGGCGCAAGACAAAAGTGAGTGGGAAGAGTAGGGTTCCTGCATGCCCTGGACACCCAGGCAATGACTGCACCGGGGGAAGTGGTCCTGCGTCCGGGGTGGGGAGTAGAGGTCCAGAGCAAAGGTCACCGCAAGTTCTGGGGGATGGTCAAGACACCGTTGACTTTCTGGAGAGCTAAAAGCGATACTATCTGCTTATTATAGGGGTTCTCGGACAAAGTCAGAGGGAGCTCTAGCCGGAGTCCTCCCCAGTGCTCCTGCAGGCTTCTCCGCGAGGCCAGCAGCCACCTACAGTCCCACTTGGCTTCCTTTTAAATCCTGATGTTGAGAAGATGTTAGAGGTAGTTTTCTTCGGTTAATCATGTGAAAGGACTGCACTGATATGGTCAAATTCCTGGGACCCTCAGTTCTGTAGGGACGTTCTAAACGCCCAGTATCATTGCTTATTAGAGCACGTGGAGGAACCAGCAGTTGGCACGATTATGTCGCTGGACTCCCATGTAGTCGACTGCGGTTCGAGTCCCGGACCCGGTGCCTTAAACCCCCAAAGCTGCAGCCGGGCGCGGGTGAGGCCCGGCCGCCCCCTTCCCGCAGGGCTCCTCCTCCTGTCGAGGCGACGGGCGTCCCCGGCTCCTTCACCATGGCCTCTGCGCGGGCACTAGGCTCGCCCTCGCGAAGAGGGCGGCGAGCGTGCGGATGCGAGCTAGGGTCTCCGGGGCCGGGGCCGACCAGCCAAGCCCAGGCAGGACGCCGCCCCCGTGCTCGCGGCGGGCTGGGCGGCTGTTGGCGTTGGGGC